GTACGATACTAAAGCAAAATGTGCGATTAGTATGTAGTTTCTCTCGACAAAGCGGGCCTCGCTAATTAAATAAGGTATAATACTTGTTTCTCTAGCTTACCGAGTATGCTGTTTATCATTGTTATAGGTTTATGATCGCCGTTTCCAGACAGTACGTTTACAGCATTTTGGTGAAGGGTACTTACTATTTTGCGTGAGTAAAAGAGGGCGTACGACTAATCACATGAGGATTGTTATTAGTATATGGTGGAGCTAAAGTATCAAAATATAATTATTTCATTTATTGACATGTTAGAATCCGCTCACCTGGTCTCTAGCGATATAGTAAGAGTTAGCAAGCGCTACCGTAGACTCATAACCAGAAACTCCTTTTATGCGTTTCGTATTGGACAATATTGCCAAATCAGACTCCGCATCTAAGAGTTGTTTTTTTTTTAATCAGAATTGTTTTTGTTGCATAGCATGACGATTTTGCTCATGTAACTTGTGCGGAATACATTAATTGTATACCTTTATCAGAAAAAAACGCATCCATATTAACATCGCCGCCAGTAAACCTTGAATCCGTTATAACAACCGCCAATTCAATGCCGAATAAGGCATTTGCATTATCGTTAGGGTTATCAAACTCTAAGACAGGTGCACTGAAGTTTAACAAGTAACCACCGAAATATGGATAGGCGTTGGTGACATACTTATTACAATCGCCAATCGCTAAAATATCAAATTAACGCACACGTATCAATATTGGTTATTAACAAATAGAAAATAACGTCACTGTTTCAACATACAGTAATCATAATAGACCGTCTTGCAGTCGACTGTGAAGTCAAAAAGAGAGAAAAAAGAAGCTCCTGAAAGAAAGAGAGAATGGCTTAATATTAAATTCAATATCAGTTTTATTACATTAATAGGAAAGATTACGTACTTGGGGCAGGAATGGGGCCACTATCGTCTTCTTTATAGCTTAAAGTTCTCTCATTTTGGCTCAGCTTATATGCTTTCCAGAAAAAATAGATTAATACGCCTATGTAGCAAATCCATAAAGATATTATTTTCGACCTTTTGATAGCAGTGAGCTCAGAACGTCGTAAAGGAAATAGGTTGTCAATGAAATTTTTTATCATGGTGAAATATAATGAAAATTAAATCGTCGATACTGGTCAATATATTTTTAGGGTATCCTTTTGTTATTATTATGCAAGGATAATCGCGACTATTGGGGAAAAGCGCGGGGTTTTATAACTTTATCTTTGGTGTACTGTTGCATATTTAACAATTCTGCAATAATGGCAACACTGACAATGTCAAGTGACAAAATTTTAAACACACACAAGTCTGTCTAATCTAACTGTTTTGGTGTACAAAGGTTTGCGTTCAAATGTTTGGGCAAAAGAAATCATGTGATAAGATGCCCGTATCACGTTCAGAACAAAGTACAGTCGACCCTCCATATGTACAGTCAACCATCCATATATCATGTCTTATTCCCAAGCTCGGGATTAGTAAATATATGCACACCCTCTATATTTTGCATTGCACGGTGTTGTTCACTTCCGCTATATCTTCCTATTACTATATGCACGCCCCGTGATTTTGTACAACAAATGATAATTACCATTACACGGGATGTCTAAACAAAGTAAAGATCATACAAAGAGTGTGATTTGTAATACTTGCATATTGCGTTGTCTTATTGGTTATACTGTTTCTATTTGAAAGAAATTCGTTGTTTAACACCGTCTTTATCATTCCTTCGTTTAATATTAACAGGTCAGGTAAATAAAGAATTAATGACGGATAAAGAATTTTGTAATCGTTCATAAAAGAAATAAATCCATTGTTTATCGGCATTAGACATTCATATTAATGATAGTGAGATTGATAACAGCACTGAATTGCCAATAGTCAATGCCAATGATGCTATAAAGAGTTTAGAATTAGTTCGTTCCTTTTTGCAACAGCAAGAAGATTCTAAAGAGTTACTTAAACATGTTAATGCTCTTGATTACTACATTGGTTTAAAGTTGATGAATGCAAAGAAACAAACAACCATAGACAAAATTTTTTTAACCAAAAATAGTAAACAGGTATTTTAATATGTTTTTCATTATTATGAATAAATAAAAATACAGTCGCACCTGTCTATTTGCATACTGTTGGGACCGATAGATTTTTATGCAAATAGACAGAATATGGAATACACGTTATCACATTACTCAAAATTTTTTATGCACTCGTAAAATATGTTATCGCTATCATTGTACAATGAAAGAAGCAATAACTTTCGAGATAGAGAGAGATATTACCGCCTTAAGATATTTAATATTCCAGATTTAACGTTAAATGTTTCATTATTATATTATTGTTATTGCCATTATTATTTAGATACAGAAACCTATGAGAACGGAAGATTTCTTGAATCCCGTTGAAGAACGTAAAATAGAAGAACTTGTGGATGAGGAGACAATAATCAATTGATCCAAGAAGGCGGGTGAGGAAGAAGATAATGAGAGAAATGAGAAGGGAAATGAGTTGCCAGTTGTTTCTGCTAAGCGTTAGATATTTTTGTTGCCAATATAATAAAATTTAAATCGATCTTGTTGATCTCTCCTTTTATAGCATGTATACGTTGGTGGGACTTACTAGAGTTAGGGCCACTTTTGATGCACGTTCACGTTATGCAAATAATAAAGACCTCGAAACCTCACGTTATGCAAATAGCTAATAGGTCCCACGGGGCTCCTTATGCAAATTAACAGATTATGCAAATATACGTTATGCGAATAGACAGGTGCAACTGTATATATATTACGTGCAACCAATAAAATGCTGACTCTCCATATATGCTCACCCTCCATACATGCACGATCCCAAGGGTGTGCATATCGACTGTACGTATAATGGTGAAGTGAAATCTCATCAAAATACACTCAACCATCTTCTGCAAACCACAAAACTTTTTAGAAGCTGCCGTCGGGTTTACCCATGCACAAAATTTAGTTGCTTTGTCTTTATTAGTATATTGAAATTGTGTACAGCAACCGTTATGTTAGTATTCTGTCTGCGTATTGTATACCCCACGACATATTAACTTTGTGCAACTCCACAAACTTTTTTTAATGAAAATTTTTTCCTACTTTTTTAAGCAAGACCGTCGACAGCCTAAGTTCTTAAACACATACTGTATCTTCTGAATTGTCGTTCATCGAACCAAGTTTCCAGAAGGAGCATACGTAAGTAATTTCCCAGAATTCTTCACGTTAAAAGAATTTGAGCTTTAAGCGGTTGCGTTTATCGATCGAATGCAGGGGAAGATAATGATCAGGTGACCAGGTATTGAGTTCAAAACTTGCAGTGTATAAATAAATAAAGTTCCTAAAATGGTACGATATACACACTCGACCATGAGAAACGTTACCATATTAATATATATAATTTGTTCCAAAAAACGTCACCACAAAATCAAACAAATATTACAAATATTGCAGATGTGACATAATCAAGCAGTAAAGATGATTATCTATTGTCACTTATCGGAACAGAGCACTTCCTTGAAATCGGACTTCATTGTATAATAGCAAATGGCGTAAGCTAGGAAAACAGATAGAAAAATGTTGTGTCTGAGTTGGGGTTCGGAACCCAGACACTCAGTCCAGAACTGAGACAGGTCCCCAACTGAGGTACAACATACCTAAAATCTAAAATCTGTAGATTTCCGTCAAGTGGAACTAGTTTGACATCGAGTTATCCGATCACAAAGCTTAGAGTTTGTGTTCAGATATATATTTTTTGTCTCCGCTAATTTTTCGTTCAGCGCTAATTTCAATTTTAGCCGACAGTTAGGCAACATGCCGCAAACCAAATGTTGCTAACAAGTTGCGAGATGTAAAGTCCGTATTACCAGTACAGTAGTATAAAAATGGAGTCAGTACTACTACGTATATGATGTTGGGGGTCATGTTATCATCAAGGTTCAGTAACAATACACTCGACAATTTCGCCACGTATAAAATTTATTGTTTTTTGTTTAAAGCCTATCGTTCATTTTTGCGCTTGAGTTCACGCTTGTGTCAATTATTATTATTTTTTGCAAAAAGCTTTTTGCTTTCTGCTTTGACCAAGAATTATCACTGCTTTTGTTGCAATATTTCAACACGTCACACTGGGTAAATACTATATGTGTGAATTTATTTTCGTGCTTTGCAAACATTTTCGTTTACGGAAAGCCTTTTTTTTCTTTTTTTCGTGTGCTTATTAATTAATCACAGATCATATCTCCTGAATTGCCATTTTATCGGACTAGGTTGCAGAAACAGATGTTTGAGATTTTAATTTTAAGCTCATGCTTGTTTACGTGTGTTTTTAATGCAGGGAGAAATAATGGTGAATAGATGTTGACGTTACACGACGTTTGAAGAACCAACAACTTATTCTACAGCCGCTCGACTTTAAAACTGTTTGCTTACGTTTCTGAATGTTCTAAGCGAGCTATTGTAATTATTCTAATATAAAGTCACACAAGTTCGCCATACAGATACATTCTCTTATCTGTTTGTATGCTGTGTGTTATTACCGAAACTTTCTGAACCCCGAAAACGAAGTTGCCCGAAATGGATTCTTGTACGAACCCATTGTAATACAACGGGACAGGCTAATACGTGTTTTTGCGTAAGAAAACCTGCACATTGGGTTTCGCCAAACCCCATGACTGGAGATTGACTAGTTTAATCCGGTTTCTATTGTTATTGTTATTGTTATTCGGAAGTGAAGCAGATATTTGGCCTGAGCTAAAATACAGTTGTCAAGAACGGTTTATAGATGTTCTGGCCCAAATCAGAAATCAGCCCATTCCGGGAATGGACCAGGCGCCATGTTTAGCATTTTCATTTGGGCTGACCTACACAATTTCTTATTCGTTAGTTGGATCATAAAATTATTTTAATAAAGTATTTCGTAAGTTGTGAAGGGTGGCATCTTGAACCACAGCCGGTGCCAGTTCACTTGCAAGGACACCTGTTACTATCACATTTAGATTTACAATGGCAGAGAGCTCCCGTGACTGTCGCTGAACTCTGCATCTTTACTGCTTCCGTTAGGGAGATTTGTTTCTCTGGTATGTTCTCGAGTTCAGGGAACTCTGCACTTATGCTCTCTAGATCAAAAACTTGATAACAGGTCCCCAAGATGCCATAAGCACACCCAAGATGATAAACCCCCCCATCTAAAACCTCCATAACCGGAAGAGATCTTCGATCAATACCTGTTCTATCTACCCTTGGGATATTAACTCTAACGTAATCTCCAATGTCAAACTCTAATCGCTGTCTCTTATTTCTACTACTCATTAGATTCACCATTGCGTAGATGTTTCGATGCACTTGCTGAACAGCAAGCTCACACGGTTTTTTGTAATTCTATTTAATTGACATGCCAATCGTGTTATGAACACAGCAATTAATAAAACGCGCGAAGAACGCGAACGTTTGCAATCATACATGAAAACAACAGGACATTTTTTCGCAGCCCAAGTGCTTATCTAAGCATTGCTCAACATTTTGTCATTATGGACTGCTGACTTTTTATGTTTGTGTTACCAAATTTTGTCACGATCATCTGAAGATTTACAAATCCCGACATGGGCCCAAATGAGAATGCCCATTCCCGGAATGGGCTGATTTCTGATTTGGACCAGAACATATATAAATGTTTTGCTGCCAATAAGAGATAGTGATCTAATTCTCACATTATATTACTTGAAACCCGTTTTAGGAAATATCATATGGTTATACTGTATGTGTGTAACTTCTCTGCAATTGCAATATAAATAGCAACTTCATTCCTTTGCTTTGATAAAGATGATGCAAAAAGACATAGTATTCAAGTTACGATTATAAAACGACATAAATGCGGTCGACATGTACAGTAAGTTTAAAGATATTTTTATTCCTCTTTCTAGTACAAACTATAACAAATAACTGGAAACTATATTCATGATACGTTACTCATTAATTTTCAATATATATTATGGCTGCTTTTAGGGAGATAACAAATGAAGGCTATTATATAAGTTTACGGGTTTATCTCATCAAAAGTCAAGATGATAACAAATCTCTCCACTGAATGATAACGAGTTCAACGAAGACATACCATCTCATTTGTGAAGAAAAGAAGAAGAAATACCCATTTGTAAACCGATGGTATACCTACTAGGACGGGAGGAGATATGCAGCACCACGGAATCCAGTTACCATATAGTGATAGAAATAAGACCGTATTTAATGTGCGGACCCGTAGACGCAGTGCTGACACACCCATTAAACGGACGCCTTAAAAATACCTTTACTGCCGCAAAAAAATAGTCTCGACATTTTTTGAAATTATTTTATTTTTGACTTAAATCAATACAACAATTTTCAATGACATTATTATGTTATACCCAAATATTTATTATTACGTATAAGCATGATATGATTAATAACACGTGCATTTAAAAGGTCTTGAATGTAACACAAGTATTTGGTGACTACAAAGGGTAATTTTTCATATTGTGCAATAGTAACTTCAAAATCTGGTGACTGTGACTATAATATGATTGTGACTGTAAAGGAGGTAAATCACTATCAAAATGACTGGGACCAGAACAGACTGTGATTGTAGGGGAGGTTGACTGTATTACATACTGGATAGTTGAGAGGTGAAATAAAGAATATAAGTGAGGCAAGATGGGAGTGATTACATGTTGAAAAGAGTGTGTGGTGTGAGGGAATATCATTAATATATGAATAATAATCATACGAGTAAATCAAACTTTTATCTCTCTAACAATCAATTCTCAGATATTTCAACATCCTTCTCAGTAGGCGCCTCGATATCCCTCTTGTGAGTGTCATCCTTTACGATGTTGTCTACACTTACAACGTATTCTTTAAAAAGAACTCCAATGAAAGCAATCTTTGTTCCACCGCTACAACTTTCTCGTCGCTCGAAAGATTTTTTGATAATATAGGACCCGAGAACGGAATATTTGGACGTAGACTATCGTAGAGGGCTGACCTAACTTTGTGGCGGACGCGCGGCAGATTTTGAATCAAACCCCATGGATTCATTTCATAGGAGCCTGTGAAAAGAAAAGAGCAATCGATATTGACGTTTAACAAAATACGCACGCTTGACAGAAAAGCAGAGTAATAAATCCAAGGAAGTGGATAGAATTTCGTTCACATACCGAATAAGAATAGATATATTCCCATTGCAAAAGTGTAAATACCACCCACAGCACTGAGGAAATCACTCACCGTCAAATCGCTAATATTAAGGAGTTAAACATATGTTCGCACAAAAGTATTCAATAACATTAGCAATACTTCTTTTTCATTTGAGCAGTTTGTGTCATGTATACTTACGACTTTTCGGTTTCCATTATGACTATATAAGAATTGGGTCTTATAGCTATATTTGCGTAGCCCTCGACAAAAATGTTGGGGTATGATACTAAAAGCAAAATGTGCAATTAGTATGTAGTTTCTCTCTCGATAAAGCGGGCCTCGCTAATTAAATAAGGTATAATACTTGTTTCTCTAGCTTACCGAGTATGCTACTTATCATTGCTATAGGTTTATGATCGCCTTTTCCAGACAGGATGTTTACAGCAGTTTGTTGAAGGCGACTTGTTATTCTGCGCGAGTAAAAGAGGGCGTACGACTAATTACGTGAGGATTGTTGTTATTAGTATATCGTGGAGCTAACATATCAAAATATAATCATTTCAGGTTAGAATCCGCTCACCTGGTTGTTAGCGAAATAGTAGGTGTTAGCAAGCGCTGCCGTAGACTCATAACCAGAAACTCCTTTTATGCGTTGCGTTTTGGACGCTAATTCCAAATCAGACTTCGTATCTAAGAGTTGTTATTTTTTTAATCAGGATTGTTTTTGTTGCATAGCATAACACTTTTGCTCATGTAATTTGTGTGGAATACATTAATTGTATACCTTTATCAGCAAAGAACGCTTCCAGCAAAGCATTGCCGCCGGTAAACTTTGGATCCGTTATATTAACCATCAATTGAATGGCAAATAAGGCATTTGCATTATCTTTAGGGTTATCAAACCCTAAGTCAGGTGCACTAAAGTTTAACAAGTAAGCACCGAAATTTTGATCGTAATAGGTGTTGCCGAAATAATTATTACAATCGCCAATCGCTAAAATATCAAATTAACGCACACATATCAATGTTGGTTATTAACAAATAGAAAATAACGTCACTGTTTCAACATACAATAATTATAATAGACCGTCTTGCAGTCGACTGTGAAGTCAAAAATAGAGAGAAAAGAGGCGACTGAAAGAGAAAAAGAATGATTTGATATTAAATTCAATATAAGTTTCATTTGCATTAACGGGAAAATTACGTACAAGGGGCAGGAATGGGGCTACTATGGTCTTCTTTATAGCTTAAAGTTCTCTCATCTTGGCTCAGCTTATATGCTTTCCAGCCAAAATAGATTAATACGCCTATGTAGCAAATCCATAAAAATAATATTCTCGACCTTCTGATAGCAGTGAGCTCAGAACGTCGTGAAGGAAATCTGTCGACAATGAAATTTTTTATCTATTGGGGAAAAGCGCGGGGTATTTATAACTTTTATCTTTGTTGTACTGTTGTATATTTAACGATTTTGCAATATTATCAGAGCGTAATGATCTATTGTTTGGGTAATTTTTTATAAAACTAATAGTAACGCTGACAATGTCAAGTAACAAAATTTTTTGTCATTGTCTAATTTAACCTAATCTGTTTTGGCGTACAAAGGTTTGTGTTCAGAACTTCTTCTTTTTTTCAAGGGCTGTGCTACAGCAACACAAAGCAAAAAAAAAACATATGATAAGATGCCCGTATCACGTCAGAAAAAGTCAGTAGTACGTATAAAGGTGAAGTGAATCTCATCAAAATACACTCAACCATCTTCTGCAAACCACAAAACTTTTTTAGAAGCTGCCGTGTCATCAAGTCGAGTTTACTCATGCACAAAATTTAGTTGCTTTGTCTGGAAGTCTATCTTTCATATTATCGCTCAGAACTGGTGCTTGGCAAAACTTGTTTTCGAACAAGATTGCAGATGGCTTTGTTTTTACCGAAATAGTTATCTTTATTAGCATGTTGAAATTGTGTACAACAACCGTTATGTTAGTATTCTGTCTGCATATTGTATACCGACATATTAACTTTGTGCAGCTCCACAAACTTTTTTTTATGAAAATTCTTTCCTACCTTTTTAAGCAAGACCGTCGACAGCCTAAGTTCTTAAACACATAATGTATCTTCTGAATTGTCGTTCATCGAACCAAGTTTTTAGAAGGAGCATACGTAAGTAATTTTCCAGAATTCTTCACGTTAAAAGAATTTAAACTTATAAGCGGTTGCGTTTATCGATCGAATGCAGGAAAGATAATGATCAGGTGACCAGATATTGGCCGCATGAGCTGCCACATTACTAAAATACGGTTAAATCGTACCGTCGAAGGCGGTTTATAGTAAATGTTTTGCTGTCAATTAAGAAGCGCTAATCTTGTGAGATTGCCAAGTTAACGAATTCCTAACATACCACGAATAGTTGTTAATCAGCGTGTCCCCCACCTTTTCTTAATAATGATAAATCGCTACTAATAATAGCAAAAGCGGGATTCAGGAAATTTTTTGTTTGTGTCAAAAACCTGACCGGGAAGAATTCATTCAGCCCACTATTACTCTAAATTTAGAGATAGCCAAAAATAATCATGATAAGGTTTCGTAACACAGCAGATTTGTTTCAGTATGTTGTATTAATATATTTGTGAGACTACTCAGTCACAAGTTGATCTTGATCACTTTAATCAGGTGGCAGGCATCCTGCAACTGCTTTAAACGCCGACATCATGTTTTAAGCCGTATTTGATAAGTCGATGATTTCTGCTGTGGGTAAAGAGACATTGTCGATATCAAAAACTCATTAATTATTGTCGAATGACAAAATGTGATGTTTAATAAAGCTATCCCTTAAACTGTATTGTCAGCAAATTTGCCTACAATTTGGATTCGCTTATATCACCTGATGCTACTAATAAAATACCCCCAACATATATAGTTCGCCAAAGACCTTGGAATCATAGCTATTAGTATGTGAAGTCACATGATTGTAGGTTGCAGAGTCTTGTTTCTCTTGCTGATCCTTAACTCTAAGCATGTATATTTTATCGATCAATCGCTGATGGAGCCAATACTCATACGTTTAGCACTGTAACTGTTGGTTAACATCTGTGTGGTAGATATTCTTATTAAAAAAAGTCTTATCCCACCAACTCTGAAGTCACATCAGACTCACAATACTTACCATAAAGAACCAGATTTCGGTGAGAAACGGAATATGAATGTAAACCAGAGCAAGAAGAACAATAATAAAAGCTCCGAAGCGAACAAAACAGTAGAAGCAATGTAAGAGTTCAAGAAAGAGAAAAAGATATGTGGGAGAAGAAGCAGGAGCGGGGAAGTATGAGTTTAAATGTCTGTCTTCAAATGGCCATTACTTCTCAGTGACTTATCTGTTTACCGAGATCTTTGACTCTTTAGACTCACAAAAAAGTAATAAAAAAAAAGGTCTAAGAATATGGTACGCTATCATAGCTCAAATAAAGCAGAATTTGCAAGAGTTTGAAATTTTACCTAAGCATTTTTTCAAAAATAATTTTTAAATGCGCATTATTCTTCAACCACACATTCTTTCACTGCGTAGTTTTTGCTCATTTAAATCTCCAGGATTAGGCAAATTATTATTTTTAATGGTTAAAGTTCAAATAATATAGTAATATTGTTTTTTTTTTATTACAAAATTATGTGTCAAAATTGCCAAAAATTGGCCTACAGATAAATGTTAAAAGAAGGATGTTTTCATTGAAACAAAACAGTTGAAATTGTATATTCAATAAAAGATGAAAAATAAAGATTCTAAACACGCTTGCATATATATTTTCCAGCAAAATTACATAAAGACAAAGCACATTAATAATACTTAATAATGCAGTAAACATAATAAAATTGATGGTTTTATATATCTAACAATTAGCAATTAATATGACGTATTATGTAGACTAGAAATGCCAAATGTATCAAAAGAAATTTCGATTAACCAAACTACTGTCAGCTAAACAGGATGACAACTAAAATAGAATAAAGTTGGTTTTTTTCTACGTATTCACGCTATAATATGTAAAAATTTCCTTACTTAATAGGATGCACGGCAATACTGACTGCGTTATATGTTTTTTTTTTTAAAAAAATTTCCCCTTCAAAAAACCTACCTATAAACACAAACATACATACAAACATACATACAGCAAAACAAATTAACAAGTTAACATAAGAACTATTCTGTCTCAAGTTATCTCAATATCATCCTTCTCCGCAGAAGTGTCAACAACGCTCATCGCGGCAATTTTGCCATATACACCGTTGTCTACGTTTACAACATATTCCCTTAAAAATAATTCCAGTGCAAGCTGTCTTTGTTCTATTGCTATGACTTTCTCGTCGATCGAACAATCTTTTGTTAATACAGTGTTTGTGAATGGTATATTAGGACTTAGACTATCGCGGAGGGCAGATCGAACTCTGTAGCGGATACACGGAAAATTTTGGACCCAACCCCATGGATCTATTTTATCGGCGCCTGTAAAGAAGAAACGAGGGTGATCGATATAGACGTAAATGCACACTTGACAGAAGAAAGGGAAACAATTGAGGAAGAAAATAGATATCACATACCGTATAAGCATCTGTAGGTTGCTATTGTAGCTGCGTATATACCTCCCACAGCACTAAACAAATCGATTATTGACAAATTGCTGGAGGAGTAACAAATATGAGTGTTCAATAACATTAACAATGCTACTCGTTTTATTTGACGTCTTAAGTGTCCAATGTATACTCACGGGGTTTCGGTTTCTGTTTCGACCATATAAGACTTGGGTTTCATTGTTACAGATGCGTAACCTGCGTCGTTTAGGTAGTAGGGATATGACACTTAAAGCAAAATGTTCGATTAGTATGTAGTTTTTCTCTTGACAAAACGGGAGTTGCTAATTACAATAATTCGTTCTTCTAGCTTACCAAATAAGCTGCTTATCGTTGCTATAGTGTTATGATCGCTTTTTCCAGAAAGTACGTTTAAAGCATTTTGAGTGAGGGGTTTGGATATTTTGCGTTCAAAAAGAAACAAGTACGACTAATTCACGTGGGGGTTGTTATTATTAGCAATATTGTAGAAGCATATGTATAATATGTTCATTGCATTGAATGATATACTAAAATTCGTCACCTGGTTTTTAGCGAGGTAGTAATTGTTATCAACAACTGCCGTAGCCAGGTAATAATAATAATCCAATCCTATTGGAGTTTGTGACGCCGCATTTTGCAAATCAGAAATTGTTTCTAAGAATTTTTGATCAAAATTGTTCGTGTTAATAGCATAACGATCTTTTTATGTAACTTGTGTTGGACATATTAATTGTATACCTTTGTCACCAAACCACGCTGCCAGATACGCATCGCTACCACTATACTTTGCATCCACTATAGTAATTTCCAAGACAATTGCGATTAAGGCAGCCTCGTCATTAAAAGGGTTAACAAACGACAAGTCAAATGCATTGAAGCCTGAATAGTAGGAGGAGGACGTTTGGTCGGTTTTATTGACATAATTATTGCAATCACCTGTCGCTAAAATATTAAATTGACACGCACACCATCCACGCGTATCGTAATGGTTAATTAACAAATGGGTAAATATTTTGCTGTTATTTTATGTTTATACATACAATAATCATAACGAACTAGCGTGCAGTTGACAGTAAAGTTGAATTGGGCGATAAAATGAACGGCTGCAAAAAAAAAATTATCAATATTAAATTTAAAATTAGTTTTAATTAGAGGAACGATTACGTACTCGGAGCAGAAATGTCACCATAGTCCATCTGATATATTAGTTTAGTCTCATGTTGGCACAGTTTATATAGTTTCCAGGCAAAAAAGGCTGCGACGCATACGTAGGCAATTAATAAAAACAACGTTCTCATCTTTTTGATAAGGAAGAGCTCAGAACGTCGTGGAGGAATTTTATCAGTAAGAACGTTGCTTATTGGTTCCATTATGGTAAATAAACGGTGTGAATTTAAATCGTGAATATACCCTTTCTTTTGCTGTGCAAAATAATCGTAACTAGGCGGGTATTTATAACTTAATCTCTTGGCACACTGTTGTACACTAAACACAGTACAAATTTGATCATCGGACTTATTTTAGGTAATTTTCTAAAAACGTAACTGAAAAATGTGATCTTTGTCATTGTCCGCAGTACTAGTAGGTTGGCCGATCGTACAACGGTTTGGTGTTCAAAATCTATTTTTTTTTTTTTTTTTTTTTTGGACAGTAGTTGATTTCTCCAAATCAAATGCTTACTTATCCATGAATTGCATTTCGTTGTTTCTTATCAACAAAAAGTTTGCTAAAACAAGTTGCGAGATGTTAACTATTGTCTGCCCAAAATAAAACCAAAAGTAACAGAGTAATAAAGATGCCGTTACCACGTAGCCAGTACTGTGTATTAAATATTGGGGCTATGGAGTCTTTCTTTTATTGCCAAAGTTCAGTAACCAAATGTATAAACCGAATGTCATTAAATTACAATTTTACCATTTGTCTATCCCATACGATAATGAAGTTGATGCTTTCAGCTCTGATGGTTTTAAAGATAATGATTATGTCCGCAGCCGCAATCTGCCATGTTATCCGGTCAAAAACGTCAGCTTTACCCACGTATAAATTTGGCTCACTTGACTCGAAGTCTATCGTTTATTATTTTTGGCACAGGACTGTGCCTATAATTAATTAAAAAAAAAATATAATTTTTTTTTCTGTTCTCTATTTCCGACTTAGAATTGTCATTGCGTTTGTTTTCACTAGCAAAGTTATCTCAATAGTCTTCATTTTCTTTAACAAGCTGAATTGCGTGCACAAATTGTCGATTATGCAATCTTCGTGCTACAGATAGATCCTGTATTATACATTTTTAGTAAGCACTATACAAGTAACTTTGTCTTCGTGCCCTGTAACATTTTTTCTTTAGTTGTTTCCGTGTGTGTAAAACTTTTTAAGCAGGGCACATTTATTCCCAAGTATTGAAATCGACAGCCTGGGTTTTAAGCACCGACGGTATCTTCCGAATTGGCGAAATTCTCCACTTAAGAATTAATTCCTTGCGTTTGTTTCACTCGGAGGCTCGGACAGTGAATCATAATAATAGGGCAATCAAGTGTACAACGGCTCGGAGAATCAACATCTCTAAATTATCATGTTCTAAGCAGCATATTGTAGTTATTCCCATACTAATACAAGTCCACTATGCGGATACATTCTATTATAAGGGCTTATCTGTTGCTTTCTGCCAAAACTTTTATACAGTACGTATTTTGCCTTCCGGAAGAGAGGAGTATATATTGGTTACTAGTCAAAGAAGCGCTAAGACTGTTAAGTAAATTACCAATAATTGCCTTTACGGAGCTATGTTGGTCGGAGTTAATCTCCCGTTGTTTTTTTTTTAATAATGATAAACCGTGTGTAATAATAGCAAAAGCACAAAATTTTGTACCACAAACGAAAAAACGCTTTCAGCTAAACAAAAAGAATTGAACAAAAAAGCAGATCGTCCATACAAAAAAAAAATGGTAAAATTCATTAAAATCGGTTTTTATACAATTTCAGCAAAACTGCGTCGCACAGAGTACAAATCTGCGGAAACGACCCGATTCCGTTCACTGAAAGGAGACAGGTGGAGAGAAAGGTTCGTCAAAATAACATGGATTGAAGGCATGTAATGCCTATTATATGAATTTAGTAGGAAATCCTTTAGAAGGAACATTAAAACGAGTAGAACTTACAGAAAGGGAACATACAGCAGCAGAAGGTCTTATATATGAATTTGATGAATGCAAACTTGCTCCAAACAAAGGAATATGGACTGCTCGATATATTGTCTGACAAATTGACAAGTTGGGGAAATTTTCGCTGTGTAACATGGATAAATTCCTGATTCGACCATCAGAATGAGCAGATGATGCATCATATGATGAGATTGATATCGTAACACAGCAGGCTAATATTAATTAACTATTAAATCAATTGCTACCGAAAAATACAAGCAAACAAACAAAAAGTGAAAATTTTTTTCAGTATCCAGTACGTTGTATTACATAAAGTAATGGACAACCCCGCTTTAAAAGTCAGAGTCTGGAACATTTTATTCACGTCCTGTCTTAAGACTTCATATGGGTAGACTGTAACAAAACCAGACAAAGTGAACATTTGACTATGCGAGCTAAAAATGGCTGATGTGGCTAAAGAAACAATAAAAGTAGATAAGGAAGGCTTTGTTTTAGTGTATAGCTGTGGCTCATGCATAACCCATGGATATGGACAGATGTAACTAATGACTAAAGCAAAACTGACACAAATGCTTACTCTCATAATTTAATGTAGGATTGTCTCTGTATAAAATATTAATATGAAACTAATTTACAGTAGGGAGCAAAAGTATCCGACCGGTTATATCCTGCAAATTTACATAATAATAACTGGTTAAACTTTCCAAAACAAAAGTTTGATACAATACCTGATCACACGTAAAATTTCAGCTCGAGCGGGAGTCTCCAACAAATTTTCCAAACATTGGATATTTTGTTTCAAAAACATATGAAAACGTATGAAACATATCAAAAAATCGTATTCGCTTATTTCGAACTTAAACTTCAAAAATTCATATTTCCATATGTTTCCAATCGATTTTCATGATCCTTTTTTTCTTTTGTTTATCTAAGCCATCTCTACATATTTTTTGGAACATATAGTCGAATTATGAAACTATTTGTACTATAAATGGAAACAACTGCGCATTATAGCCCTTAGAGTCGTCATGTTGCATGCTTATTTGCATTTCATAGTAGCGATCACGCTATAATTAGCTCATAGATCCTAAGATAATTACGGCTGGTTCAAAGAATAAAAGAGAGAAAAAAAGAATACAAAATTTTGTTAGAAAAGTGTCGAGATATAAATTTTTGAAGTTTTATGGTTAGTATCGCATAGAGGGTGTAGTATGGTCCGATGCAAAATATCCAATGTTTGGAAAATTTGCTGGAGACTTTCGCTCGAACTGAAATTTTACGTGTAATTAGGTATTGTGTCAAACTTTTGTTTTGGAAAATTTAACCAGTTATTATTATGTAAATTTGCAGGATATGACCGGTCGGATACTTTTGCTCCTACTGTACATCAAATCCACTATGGAACCAAAGAATTACGAGTCTGGTTCATTTCCCTGACAATCACTTCCCCGACAATTACTTCCCATTTCACTACTTTGACTCAATTGCAAATAAAGGGTCAAATAATAATTTGATTTTGTAGACATAATTTTATTACAATGCTAGAATTAAATGTCAGTAAATTTTATTCTAATCTTCCTCTTCCGCCATTCACTCATGACTTGGCTTATTTCACCAAGCCATAAATTTCACTCACCACTTAAATTGCCATCACTGACTAACCAAGACGAAGGAACTGATAACTGACATTACTATAAGACCGCCCTTTACAAAAGGCCAGATAAACTTGGCATTTTGTCTTTTTGCTATTTTACCTTCTGCTTGGTTTAGCAAAAATAAAATAATGCTATACTTCTAATTATACTTTGTATATTAAATCTCTTGTGTTATGCTTTTTTTCAAAACGTTATACAAAAATGGAAAAGTATAATATTTAGTTTATTTACCACCCTCCATTGTTTATTTACTTATCCATATAGGGGAATAAAAAAGAGTTAGTAAATGAAATTTTTCCTTTAATTTAAAAAGTTCATTTACTTTTTGAGTTTTGGATAATAATTCTCTCTTTTCTTTTTCGTTAATATCAGCATTTTCTATTTTAATGCTTAATCTTTGCAGCGGAGTTTTTAAAGAAGAACCGTCTAGGACCGACAACCAAACATACCGTCGTCGCTATAGTAAGTAATTTTTTAGCAACAATTCATTTACTAATATTTGGTTCAACCCATTAACAATTGCTTCCTTAATTAAATAAAACCGACCACATAAGCCCAGTCGAGGCGTACATATTTAATTGTCATTCTTTAAATGTTTTGCGAATAGCTGTTAAATAATCTCCAATTTTTTCTTTTTTAGTCTTTTCTTTAAAAACTTTTCAACCAACATAACCAAAACCAACTAAAAAAAAAATAGGCCAACTTCTTTCGTGTCAAATAGTATCAAAAATATATATGGTTTTTGGAAGTTCTTTTGAAGAAAATACTACTTTTTCGATTTTTGTTATTTCTTCTTCTAAAATTGTAGTTCGTTGTTCTTGATTATTCTTTTGCTATTATCTTCTAATTTCAGTGTTTTGGTCTACTTAACTTTTAACATTAGAAATTTCTTGCTTATTTTCACATAGCCCTTTATATACAGAATTTTTCAAGCAATGTGCTGTTTTTTCTTCTCAGCAGAAAGTTTTTAAATTGATCTATGAAAATCTAACAGTAAAGTCCGCTTTAACGAAGAGCTCCGTCCGCCGTTAAAGCGAACTGTTCGTTAAAGCGGACTTCTACCTATATAACGAACTTTCATTATGTCACGTGATATTAGTTAAAGTGGTTTACTTCTGTACTGACATATTTCCTTCTTCGCGGAACAATATTTGTCTTTAACTCGGGGACGTTTTTTGGGAGGTTCTATACCTAACAATGGTGAGGCTTGTTTCTCACAATCGCTTGCAACCTGAACGGGCGAAGAATTAGACATCTTTATTACATGCAGTGTATTGTTTAAAGCTCTATATACAGTAATACTACACAGTGAAATTCACTTTCACGAAGTCTCACTTTACAGATCGCTTTATAATGAAGTTCTTTTCAGAACGGATTCATACATTTTATATAAAAAGACAGTTTACTTAAGCGAGCTTTCAGGTTAACGAAGCAAAAATCGTGGAACGAATGTCTTCGTTAAAGTGAATTTCACTGTGTATAATAATAACAAATGTTATAATATACCTGAACTTCGTTATGCACCAAAATTTCATTTCTTTGCTATATCGTTAT